TCCTCCTCCTCCTCCTCCTCCTCCTCCTCCTCGTCATCCTCCCCTCCTCATCGTCGTCCTCCCTCCCCTCCTCCTGCTCCTCCTCCTCCTCCCTCCTCCTCCTCTCCTCCGCCTCCTCCTCCTCCCTCCTCCTCCTCCTCCACCTCCTCTTCCTCCTCTTCCTCATCCTCTCCTCCTCTGCCGCTTCCTCCTCCTCCTCCTCCCTCCTCCTCCCTCCTCCTCCTCCCTCCCTCCTCCTCCCTTCTGCTGGTCTTGGACGTGTTCGACGTTCGAGGCCCCCCTCGGCCGCCAGGGGATTCGGGGGACTCAGAAATTTGTCCCCCCCCCCCCCCAAGCTGGCACACCCCAGCAAAGGGGCTGGTCGAGGGCCACAGGTGGTGTCCCCACCAGCAGCGCTTGCTGGTGAGGGAAGTTGTGGTCTTGCCGCCACTCAGATGTTCTTCAAACCACAGGCAGCCAGCATCCGAGAATTCTTGCTTGTTTGCTCCTCATCTTGGTTCTCATTCGCAGGCCTCGAGGCCTCCCCATTGCTCGCCAGTCGATCCAGGATCCCCTGGGCTCCGATCCGATCCGATCGGCCCCCCTTCTTTCTCCAGCTGTTGCTGCTTTTCCTCCTCCTCCTCCTCCTCCTCCTCCTCCTCCTCCTCCTCCTCCTCCTCTTGCTCCTCCAGTGCCTCCTTCCTCCCCCCTTCTTGTGCTCCTCCTCGTACGTACTCCTACTCCGCATCTCCCTCATCCTACTGCTCTGCCGCGCGCTCCGCCCTCTTCCTCCTTCCGCAGCCGCTCCTCCTCCAGCTCCTCCTCCCGCCCCTCTCGGGCACAGCGGCGCGCAGAGCAAAAGGATGGGGAAGGCGCCCTCCGGATGCAGAGTTCCTCCTGCCTTGTGGCCAGGACCACGAGGGCTGGACGTTTCCTCCTCCTCCTCCTCCTCCTCCTCCTCCTCCTCTTCCTCGTCCTCCTCCTCCGCCTCGTCCTCCTCCGCCTCGTCCTCCTCCCTGCTCCCGCTCTCCCGCCTCGTGTCCCTGCTTCTCCCTCCGCCCTCGCCCCGCCCCCCTCTCCCCACATTCGCCCCCCCCACCCGCGCCTCTCGACTTGGACCCACCCAAGGATTCCGCATTCCGATCATCCCCCTCCTCCTACACCAACTCTGAATCACTCCCCTCACCCCTCCTCCAAACTCCAAATGCCCTACACTCTTCATCCTCTTCCTCCCGCTCCACCCTGCTCCTCCTCGCCCGCTTTTGACTTCCTCATCCTCCTATGTTTCCCTCCCCTTCATCCCTTCTCCAACACCTGCGCCTCCACCTTTATCCTTGCCCGTACCTGTGCAGTTCACCTTTACCTTCACCGTGACCGTTGCCCTTGCTGATTCCTTACACGTGCGTACCTCCAGCTCCACCACTACCTTGACAACATCATGGCGGCCACGCGAAACTCTTGCAAACACACGGTGCCTGACTATCACGAATTAACTCCTCCACAAGTTCTTACCTCGCCCTCCTGCTTCCCCACCCCCTTGCCCCCTTCAAAACCTCTGCTGCATTTTGCCGCGACACGGGCCCCTCACACTTCTCGGCCCAATCCCAGGGGCCGCTTTTGCATCTGGAGCGCGCGGGCCTCCAGAGGACAAGCATTTAGAACAAAAACGGCCGCCGCGATCTCGCTCAACGGCAAGATGCCTCCCGAGGATCCCAACATGCACGCACGCAACACACAAACACAAGCACACACACAAACACATGTGAAACAACAGACCTTGGATATTATGTCTGTTTTCCTCCTCCTCCTCCTCCTTCCCCCTGTACCGCATATCGCAAAGAAGCAGAAGGCACAGGAGACGCGAGCGTGCCATTGCCACAACGTTGATCGGCCACATGCGCGCGACCCGGTGGCCAACCTCCTTCAACGGATCACAGGCCTTGGCAATCGCAAGGGAGGAGGAGGAGGAAGAGGAGGAGGAGGAGGAGGAGGAGGAGGAGGAGGAGGAGTAGGAGGAGGAGGAGGAGGAGGCGGAGGAGGCGGGGGAGCAAGACCCGTGGAGACTCGAACCCATAGCAGCACCATAAATACGTTTCACTAATTTCGGCGCCTGGGAGCCGTTTCCCGCCATCGGATCGTCGACGCGATGCAGGATGAAAAAACTATCCTGGGGAAGGGCTCGAGATTTGCCTGGGACCACGTTGCGAACGCATCGAATCGTCGGAGGTCTGCGAAGGGAGAGGACAAGGGCGCGGATCATCGCAATACTGGGCAGCAGCAGTCTGACAATGAACCAGCCACCATGACGATCGCACCTGTGGGCGCACGAGAACACGTCCTTTTGCCGTCCGCCGTCCTCGCCTGGATGGAACAGGAGGGACGTTGTGTTCCGCGAGCAGGTTCTGGACTTCGTCAACGCTGGAGGGTGCCCTCAAGTCGCGCCCCGCGGAGACCAAGGAGCGTCGTCGCCAGGAATGCTGGGGGGAAACGGGGGGTTCAAACCGCCATGCTTATCGCATTGATCCTCATTCTGATCTACAGATTGCCCATCACCGTAATCACAATGAAGATCATCGCACTGGCCATCGTGCTTGTCATCAATATGGTAACCATCTTGACCCACCACCTCGGCCATCATATCGGTAGTCCGCACGATCACACGCCATGGTCATCCTCTGAGCCATACTCATGAGATGCATCGGCTTAAATACTATCTTGGCCGTCATGACCACGGGCACCAGCAGCATCTGCTCTGCCAGACGCGGCCATTACTGTGGAACCCAATGGGGCTTCCTGCCACCGTGGCAGCGCAAGGTTTGCGGCACAGCATGGCCTCGATGGCCCGAGGCCCTACAGGGAAGTAGCACTGGACATGCAGGTGCTACGTTGTTCAAGCTCGCCCTGTAATGCCCAAGATCACGCCAACATTAAACCTCGTGATTGATATGTTTGCGTTGATTGTCCAGAGGATTCGCAGAAGGCGTTCGCAAGAATACTGGACGCCTCATGATGACGCAACCCATGCAGACACTAAGCCTCCCAATACAACACATGTCGACTTCCTGTCGTGACAAAATACCCGCGCGAACCGTTCAACTTTGACCGATCTCCTCTCGAGGAGACCAGCGGCTGTCGACGGCTGCATACAGCGAGAATTTGAAACTGATTCCGACAGAAATGCAGGATGGGAAGGAGGAACACACGATGCGGAAAATGGGACAGAGGAAGAGATACACGGAGAGACGGGAAAGGGGTCAACGAGAAAAGGTGCGAAAACTTACTTACAAGGAGCAAGAGGGACAAGGATGAGGATGATGGCAGACGGGGAGCAGGATAGAGAAGGTGGACAAGAAGAAGGAGGAGCAGCAGGACACCAAAAAGGGTAGGAGGAACACGGAGGATGACAGGGTGCCGAAGAGGGATGAGGTGGAACGGGAGGGTGGAGACGAAGAAGGAGGAACACACATGGAGGGGGTGGGGAGGATGGAAGATAAAAGGGGGATGACGATGAAGGTAGAGAAGATCGAGGAGGAACAGACCGGGCTGATGTGGCAGGCAAGCCTTCGCCGAGAACACGTAGCTGTGAGAAAACACAAATCCACCAAGGACCTCCGCCGGCCCTGGCACCAATGCAGAAACAGTGCTGGAAGGACGACGCTCCTCTTCCTCATCCTCCACCTGCTGCTGCTCCACCTCGTCCACTTCACCCTCCATACTCACCTAGCTCATGCTGTCCCTCCCTGTCCCCTTCACCCATCTCCATCCTCCTCCATGCTCGCTCGCCTCCTCCCCTTCCTCCTCCTCGCCTCCCCCCTCCTTCATCTCCACCCGCTCCATCCTCCCGAGTCCTTTTCGCTCGCTCGCTCGCCTCCGCCTCCTCATGTTTGGCCTCCTCTCATCCTGCCAAGCACCAGGGATGCTCGACCACTCTGGCGCAACATCGAGGAGGCAACGCCAGAAGGGCGAAAACTGAAGGCAGGGACGATGCACGGCCCCGAGAAGCACATCTGGAGGAGGCTCCCCGCTCCTGCTCTCCGGAAACGCGGGCAAGCATGAAGCAGCAGACAAGCGTTCCGCGACAGACATTCGGGTTGAGTTGCTACCGCTCTGAGCGGGCTGCGCATCTAGCTCAGGGACAAGCGAACGCATGGCCGATTCCGGAAAAACCCTCAAACCAAGCCCGCCGGCCTCAACGCCCGCCCGCCTTACCGCCCGGCAAAACTCTTTCGCTTCCGCCCGCCTTCCGCTTGCCTTCCGTCGGCTTCCGCCGGCGGAGGCGCCCCACTCAGTTGCCTCCGCCGGCCTTCCGCTGAGGGCGGGACGCGCCGAAGGGTCTCTGGAACGCTGCGCACGAGGACCAGGGCAAAATGGGACGCATCACCATGGTGCGCAATCGCACAACTCATTAACCAATCTGGCTGGAAGGGGCGTGCCCTCTCGTCTGCCACTGGCACGTTCGTCAGAACATCGCGACCACTCTTTGTTGCGTCGGCCAGCGTTGCGACAAAACATGCAACGTGAATGATACCGACGTGCCTCTCGTTGGGGTGAGTCGCGCAATGGAAAGAGCCGCTGCGTGGCTGACGAATTGAACTCCGCATGAGAAGACAACGTGCATCAACAACGCAGGACGACACTATGCCATTCAACATGCACCCAATGCGATATTATGACTGTGCAAATCTAGTTCTGAAGCTATGGAAGGAAACGCCCCTCACCCAGCTACATGCTTCTAAAGCACATCGCACATATGCAACCATGTCTTTGATTTCCTCTCCGACTCTCGGGGAACAATCACCTGCCGTATGCATGCAGGCGCATTTAGATTCAAAGCCATATCCATTTTGACCCACAGCGTTCGAGAAGCGAAACGCCCAAAAGTATGCTCAACGCACAGCCGTCTGGCATGCCCCTGATAGTCTGGTGTATGCCCGATAGCCCGTCCATGAAGAAGTCCACAAGCAAGTGCAACGACATCTTCTGAACGTCTATGAAATAGTCAAGCCTGGCGAAGCAACAACCTCCACTGCCCTGGTGCTCGGAACCCTCTTCGCTTGAAAGCAAAACACTTGCGGACGGTGACGCCGTCAAAGCAACGCAAATGGAACGCGTCAGAAGCGTGCCCTGATTCATGGCCGTGGAGGCACGAATCGAGCGCAACATGACACGGGCAAACCCGCATCCTCCTTCTCCCGCTCCTCCTCCTCCTCCTCCTCCTCCTCATCCTCCTCCTCCTCCTTCGCTTCCTCCTCCTCCTCCTCCTCCTCCTCCTCCTCCTCCTCCGCCACCTCCTCCTAAGGATACGCACCACGCCTGGCCCGCCAACTTCTCCCCTTCCGCCTCCTTGGCGCAACTGTGGGTTGTGCAGCAGAGGAGCCGCCGACTCGAGTGCCCGAGCCGCTCGCGGATGAGAATGGTCGGACAAGCTCTAAATGTACTGTCGCCCACCCGCCACTTACCATCGCTCGGGCGTCCATTCCGTGCGCATGTTTCGGCTTCGTGAGTGTATTTTCTCGCAAGATTGCCCCAAAGGCTCCTCGACGGTCTTCGCCGAGGAAACGAGGCACACGCCCGAGCGATTCCAGGGCCAGGCGAACAGAAAGCGCCTGGCGGTGGGCTATGACGATGTGCAGCAGCTTGGGGCCAGCTGTGCCTCGAGAGTTGCCGGCGAACTTCTACGGGGCCGACGTGTCGGCCAGGATCCCGCCGTGCGCCTGCCATGATATACGAACACCACCGCATGGCGTTCACCACGCAGGAAGCGCCCGATCGTGCCACGAGGGCCACCTGTGCGGACGGATCCCTGCTGCACGGCTGGCGTCGTACGCCGTGCGCGGGGCGGTCTGTTGCCGGGGCCGCGACGTCAGGCCCAAATCCCTCAACCGCTTGGCAGCTTGTCGGCCAGGGTTCTATATGCCGCTCGTGAGAAAGGCCCGGGGGGGGCGGGAGGGCGTTGCGGGCCCCGGAATCGGTGACTTGATGGTCTCCCGTATGGTTCAATGGGTTCTAGGGGAGGGGGGAAGGGGGGGCATTGCCAACCTCGGAAATCGGTGACCTGACGGCCTCCCGTATGTCTCCCGTATGGTCTCCCCGTGTGGTATTTCGTATGGTCTCCCTGATGGTCTCTTATGGTCTCCCGGATGGTCTCCCGCATGGCCTCTCGTATGATCTCCCGTACGGTCTCCCGCATGATCCCTCGCATGGCCTCCGTAGGCACAGTGCAGCATACTAGTGTCTTTGCTATTCAATTCTGCTGCGTAGGGTCTTCTGCCGCCAAGGAACAACTGTTCTGCAAAAGTGGGCCTCTGTGGAGGCCGTAGGGCGAGCATGGGTTCCGTGTGGAGTGCGCATGGCGCTGCACGCAGGAATGGCTCCGATCATGACCTGGACGGGCTGCATATTGATGTCGTCGACGGCTTGTTGAGATGCCACGCGTGCCGCACGAGAGCCCCCGAGCCAACGCGCCAGCCAGTGGGCGGGCACCCCGTGAGTGAGCCAGATGGTGCGGGGGCTGGGCTCGTGAAGCTTCGCCAGAAGAAGGGGGAATGCGCACGTCACAGTCAGCGAGCGCCTGGCTCTGGGACCCCAGCACTCCCAAGGGAACGACGGGCCCATACGGGTGCCAATCCGTCGAACGCTCCGGCGCCGCACGGACCGACGCTGGGCGCAGACGCCCGGTGTGGACTGGCAGCGCCCCGATCCTCAAGGTGGCCGCAGATGCAGCTGCTCACGGCGCGACGCGGCCTGGGGTGCCCCCTGGCTCCGGATCCGCCGCACCGTGGCGGCTCCTCCGACTCGGCAGTGCATCGGGAATGCACCCAGACGATGCTGTAAGGATTCGACGGCGAGGGCGGAAGCTTCCGCCTCTTGCGAACAGCGCGGACCCTGCCGCACAAGCGCGGGGGAAGCGGCGCGGGCAGAGTTGGGGCGGAAGCCGGCACCAGAGGAGCTCGGAAGCAGGGCGGAGCTTTCCGCGCTGTACCCTCAGGATCGCCCGCTGCGCTGGAGGCGGCGGGGGGGTCTGCACTGGTTGGGGTCCCACACCATCGGTCAGGAGGGCGCGACACAGCCAGACACGCTCAGCATCGATCCTCGGACCTCTCCCGGGGTCCACGCGGCGCACTCCTTCACCCCGGATCCGCTCTTCGCGGTACCGGGGCTCGAAAACGGACCCCAGAGGCCGAAAAAAAAACAACAACAACAACAACAACAACAACAACAACAACAACAACAACAACAACAACAACAACAACAACAACAACAACACCAACACCAACACCAACACCAACAACAACAACAACAACAGCAGCAGCAGCAGCAACACCAACAACAACAACAACAACAACAACAACAGCAACATCAACAACAACACCAACAACAACAACAACACCACCACCAACAACAACAACAACAACAATCATTTTACCCGAACGCGTGGTGTTCTCCCCAGTGCCAGGGTTTTCATACGACACCAGGCAATACCCCCACTTCGTGGGGGGGCATTACAAGCTCTACCAAATATCCAAACGACTCTTCGCGACCACCCAAACCCAGCTTCCCGCCCTATGACGTTGGGACACTTCACTTCGTGGCGTGCGGACGACCGTGGCTACTACACTGGCGTGGGGTACACACCCACAGAACTTGGTCACTTATTCGGGGCGCGCATGTGCCCAGCATGGTGCAATTGTGCCATACAATACATAATACAGAGAGACAGAGAGAGAGACAGAGAGCAGACAGAGAGAGAGACAGAGAGAGCGGAGTTGGTCACATTTTTGGGTCAAGTTCCTGGGATGATGGGAATACACAACTCTGTTACATTTGATAGTGTGCACGACACACATGAGATGATACGTACTCGCAAGATAGTTGGTCACATTTGTGGAATTCCTGGGCGTGCGCGCGCGAAGAAAAAACGAATGTGTCCCGCATGGTATTATTTGACAGGGATGATGGCCCTGGCAGGTGCGCAACCGTTGTCGCAGAAGTTCGAAAAAGTTGCTCGCAAAAGCCCGTTTGACAGAAATGTTTAAAAAGTGTTGGGTTTCCTACGAATCCGCAAGAGCGCGCGGGATGAGATTTTGACATTTTTTTGTTGAAAAACCATTGGTTTTTTGATGTTTTTATGTTAAAATCGCTCCGAACACTAAGCTTTTGGAAGGATTTCGTCTTGCGCGCGCGAATGTCCACTTTACCTTATTTTTTGCAAGGGATTCTTGAAATTTGATTATATTAGAACAAGAAATGTCATTTTATAGTGTTTTTTGCAAGGGAAAGCGGGGGGGAACAAAACAACCGGATCTTGATCACATCGAATTACCTGAGGCTTCCTCACGAAAATGATGAAAATGTAGCTGCGGCCTAGGCGGCGCAGGGGGGCCGTGCACCAGGGGTCCCAACAATAATTATTCTTTAGAATTAATAATGTTCAACAGCAACACCAACAACAACACCAACACCAACACCAACAACAACAACAACAGCAACAACAACAACACCAACACCAACAACAACAACAACAACAACAACAATCATCTTAAGACTGATCGCTCTTATATGCGCGCGCGTCACTCAATATGTAAATCCCAAACCCTCGATACCCACCCTCTTCGTCTTCGGTCATACCCCTTTGGGGGTATATCTTTTTTACTCGCCACGTGTAGTTGGCGCAGCCCCTAAAACAGGAAGAGCAGGGGGAAGGAGGAAGGGAGAGCGAGGAGGAAAAGAGTGGGGGGAGGGAGGGAGGAGGGAAGGGGCAAGGGGGGGAGGATGGATGGAGGACGAAAGAGGTTAGCAGGAGGGGAGGGGGGCAAAAGAGGAGGTAAACAAACGGACGAACCAGACAGACGGGTCGAGCGGCGGACTCTGAGGGGCGGGTCGGGCTGGCGGGGCGGGCGGACGCCAACGGACGGGTCGGGCGGGCCGTCATCGTCGTCGTCGTCGTCGTCGTCGTCGTCGTCGTCGTCGTCGTCCTGGTCGTCCTGGTCGTCGTAGTCGTCGTCGTCGTGGGGGGGTCGCGGGTTGACATGACGGGCGAGGAAAGGGAGTAGGAGAACTGAAGCCATGTGAGGTGAGCTCTGCACGCTACCATGCGAGCCACCGTGTTCGGTGTCCTGGGGCCCCTTGGGCGGTTCTTGGGGCTTCCCGGGGGCCTCTTGAGGTCTTGAGGCCTCTGGGGGTCTTCTTGGGTGCCTGGAGGTGCCTCCTCAAGTTCCCGTGTTGTCTGTTTGATGATGTGACACTTTGTCGAGGCGCCTCCAGCCGGAAAGGTTCATGAGGCTTCCTGGGGCCTTCTTGAGACTGTCTTGGGCGGCCTGCAGGGTGAGCTCAGCACGTTGCCATGCGAGCGACGAAGCGAGCGGAACACGGGGCCATGCGAGGGAGTAGGAGAACTGAACCCATGTGAGGTGAGCTCAGCACGCTACCATGCGAGCCACCGTGTTTGGTGTCCTGGGGCCCCTTGGGCGTGTCTTGGGGCTTCCTGGGGGCCTCTTGAGGTCTTGAGGCCTCTTGGGGTCTTCTTGGGTGCCTCGAGGTGCCTCCTGAAGTTCCCGTGTTGTCTGTTCGATGATGTGGCACTTTGTCGAGGCGCCTCCAGCCGTCCCGGGCCTTGTTGGGACAGTCCCGGTGCCCTCGTGGGCGCTTCGGGGGGCTTCCTGGAGGTGTCTTGAGGCCTCTTGGGGCCTCCAAGGGGGCTTCCTGGGGGCCTCTTGGGGGCCTCGTGGGGGCCTCCTGGGTCTCCTGGGGGGATCTTTGGGCGGGGAGCTCGAAATGTCGGTCCCCGCCTCCCCTCTGGGGGCTCTTTTGGGGCGTTCGTTGAGCTTTCTGAGGGGGTCTTGGAGGCCTCTTGGGCCGTCTTGTGGGCGTCTTGGTCCGTCTGGGCGCTGTCTTGAGGGCTGCTGAGGCCGTCTTGGGGCGATCGTTGGGGCCTCTTGGGCCGTCTTGGAGCGCCGAGAAGCCGAAAATGCAAAAACTTCAAAAACCTTCGAACACGTAAGGAAAACTTATGGTTTTTGAC